GAAACAAATTGAAGGTTGAGGTACTTGGCAAAGTCTACAGTGCGTTTATAGGTGTTTCCACTGAATAAAATAGCTGCTGGTATCAAAATGTTTCCTGCTGCAGTTCCTTCGATTAGTGGTTGTGATTGCCAGGATACACTATGTCCATTCAAACAATTTGTAGCAATTGTAACCATACTTCCCTGATTTATTTGAGTTGTAGTATCAATGGGACTACCACAATGTTGACAAATTTCGAATAGTTTATGTAACTGACTTTCAAATACAATAAATTTTTTTTCCACAGCAGGTGCAGTATCAATGGAATATTCATCATCTGTTTCAGAGTCATCATCAGAAGCTGAAGGACAATATGAAGAGAGTCATTATCTGCATCATTTGAAGATCCTTGTTTTTTTAGTTCCACAATAACCCCATTTTGGACATCATCACATTCAACCAATGTCAGTTGTTCTTCAGTCACTGGTGTGCATGGTGTTGTACATAGTTCCACCGTGTCTTTATTGTCATCTGTTGAAGAATTATTATTTGGGCCCAAGGAGTAACTGTGATCTTCTAATGAAATAATTTATTGATGCCATCAGGGTGTCTTTTTGTATTTCCTTGTATGTGTAAATGTTCAGTTTGGGTTCCAACAGTCTTAAATGTTTTAATAGAAGGTTGAACCTGAACCTCTTTATCTTGTGTCGTAGTTTCAATATGTCGAGTTGAAGTACAGGTAGTTTGTTCCACATCAGCATTTGAACTTTCTATATTTTCATTTGCATAACAACTATCTGCATCCAGAACAAATATGTCTTGTTTCAATGTTTTTGCAACCTTGATAATATTAACGAATAAAACAGAATATTTGACTGGTTAATGTTTAGCATGAATATTAATGACCCCTGGCAAAATACAACAATATCCTAAAGTTTCCAAATGCTAAATTGTAACCAGTTCATGGGTAAAAATGTTTAATTAAAATTTCAAATTAAAATAAAACATGTTATTTGGCACATTCATTTTATATAGAGCGAAAAAATTTCTTCAATGTTGCAAACCTTAAGTTACAATTAATGTAATAGTACTAGATAATGAATTTGTACAAACTTTGTTTTTGAAGTATTCTTCAAATGTATATTAAAATTATATTCTTATATTAACAAGATTTACAACATTGTGTATACATTTTGTTCACAAAGCGCCAGGATTGTTTGTATATTGATTAGTAAATGAAATATCATACAGTATGTGAGACAAGAATCTCCAAACCTTTCTTGTCCGATTTCGTATTTGTTTCACACTTGACAATCTTGTTTTGTTTTCGTTGCCCTTCGTTGGAAAAGCAAACATAGTTGGCACCGCTGATAGCTTCAGCGTTTTACGTTTCTTGAAACCAGGAATTACTTCAGCATTCGGTTCAAAACAATCGGGTGCAAAATGTGCGCTGCAGACATACGTATTCGCACGCTCACGAGGGTTCTCTCGACGTAAATTACGCAACCAAACACTTCTGAGCGGCCCATTTGGCAACCTATGATAACTTATATCTGTTCCTTTGGTCTTTCGACTGCCATTTGTGCACAAAGGCACAGTACAATGCGGCATTTTTTGTTATATAAACTTTTAATTCTGTAAATTTCAGGTTATAGTATAGCGCGCCACTATTATTTTAAATTCCCGCGACACAAGAAGCACGCAATGACGTCACAAATAAGGGCGCTGACCAAATTCGCGCCTGCACGTAAAAGAACAACATGGCGTCGAAATTTGCAAAATTCGCGAACTTTGATGAGCGATTTCTCCTTTACTAAAACGATTTGGACCGAGATACTTCAGGAACAATATATTGAAGGTATAGTCTTTTATTTAAACCCAACTTGTTTTGGGACTGGAGTTCCCCTTTAACAAGAAATATATATTTTTCCTGTAAAATGCAGCGCAAGATATTTTTTCCCCAATATATTTCGCGGCGGGATACTTTTTTTGCCCTTTCATATAGCTATCATCAGAGACGTAGCCGGGGTTTTCAGTCAGAGGAGGTTGAGAACTGAATTCCAAGAGGGGCCAAGGATTAATGTTCCCCACACTAAAGCGTGCAGGTTTACTTACAAAAAATGTGTAACTGCACCAAAACCTAAAACATGTAGGGATAGAGTAGAGTACTCGAAAATGGGGGAGGTACAGTATATGAATTACCTGTAACCTGGGGGGGGGGGGTTCGGGAGCATGCTCCCCCGAGAAAATGTTAAAATTTGAACCTCGGGAATGCTATTTCCTGCGTTTTCAGCCATGGATTCGTCCAACAACTTTGCTGTACTAAGCCTAAGGAACACTTACTGTCCTTATTTTAAACAAGGGAAAATTAATAATATTTTGATTAATACGTAATAAAACAAGATTTCAATAATGCGATTTTTAACTGCCCTCCGAAACAACAATGTTCCACCATGCAAATATAGCTCTGTAGCTTTTCAATCGTTCATACAGATAGCTTGTTGGGGATCGGGTTGCATGCATCATTTTCAGAAATTTTTTAAAATCTATACTCTCTAAACTGGCATTTTCGCATTAAAATCATCCAAAAAATACTTTTTCTACCATGCATATTAGATATGTATAAATAACTTATAAACTTGTATATATCTTAAGCCCAGATTTTCTCGGGGGGTAGGGGGGGGGACAATTTTGCCAGAGAACGCCACGGTAGAATCCCTGTGATGTTGTCCACTGTTCACCCCGTGTTCTTCTAAGCGAATGTGCCTGCTCAAAAATGCAAAAATTTTGCATGCCTGTAAACACAATACTGAAGTGAAGAACGTTGAGCGCTCTCTTTTGCATGATATTTTTTTCTCGATTATATGCTGCATGATATTGTTTTCTTTCTCCTTGGATTGCAGGAAAGTTTTTCGAAATCTTCCAACTCCCCCCCCCCAAAAAAAAAATTAAATGGTCCGCCCCTAAATGCGCTTTATTACCCTCTATTAAGCCGGTTTTCCACTAGCGAATTTTTTCGCGCGAAGCGACCTTTTTCCTTTGTCGGCATCCATTTTGAAGCCCTCGAAAACCGTCAAAATTGAGATCGTCAAAAAAGGGCCGACCTAAATCTGACCTCGCCATTTCTTAAAATCTGTTTCACGTCTTGGAGCACTATTAATCACGCATTTACGAATCATTGAAATCGCAATATAACTGGAACGTTACCTCCAGCCAGAAACTTCGAAAGTTGAAACCAAATTTTAACTCTAGACGCGCGAAATTTGATCTTCAGACACCTAACGTATATACACATGCAATACCCGTCAATTTTTAAACCTTACACCGTCATGTGTTCAATTAATCAAACTACGAATCGAATTCTATAATCGAATTCTATAATTAATTAGAAAAAAATTGCATTGCTGCATGTGTGGTTTCTTTGATGCATGCTAGTCGTGATATTCGGTTTGAATTCAATTATTCAGGAAGTCAATTTTGGTTTCTTCAGTGGTTGTCTTTAGCCAATCCAGTTTTGCCGACTGAGATAATAATTTGCCGACTTGCTGACGAGGGGGGGGGGGTGTCCCCCCCCCGACACACACACACACCTGTAGCACCGCTCCTGTATAATGGTGTATAAATCTCTGAATGGTCTCGGACCAGATTAACTAACGGAAATTTTGTCGATCCCAGTAGCGTTGCAAATTCTGTTTGTCTCTACAAACATTTCCGATAAAACGTTACCGAGGTGCAACAAGCTAGCACTTTACGTAAATTCAAGTGGAGACTTCGTACGATAATTTTATAATTTTGATTTTGATTAATTAGTTAATGCATCGCTCGCTCACTCACTCACTCACTCACTCACTCACTCACTCACTCACGTACTCACTCACTCACGCACTCACTCATAAGTGGTCGTCCACGTTAAAAAGAAATTGGTGGCCATTGCTCCACCCAAAAATGTTCTAAACTCGTGCACAACGGACAACCCTATCCTACACTTCCCTAGTCAACCTGTTCATTTTTCCGTAGGGAATACCCTCCATCTTCCTCACTTCCATATCTCACTCGAAGATACCATAAAAGCGTTAAAGTCCTTGAAACCTCATTCAGCAGCAAGCTCCAGATGAAACTTCATCCTGGTTTCTGCATGAAAACGCCTTCCCCCTTTATGTCAACCTTTAGCTTCTATCTTTAGTGAATCTATCACGAGGATTTTGTTCCATGACTGTGGAAATCCCCAAATTCCTCGCCCGGCCTTGATGTTAGCCAATGTGGCATTGTGAGTAACATCTTGTAGTTATTTCCACACAATTGGCTTTTACAGTTAACCCTGAACAAATTGACAAGCTCGAAGGTTCACTTGAAGAATCCACAAATTGGCGGTTCACTTGAAAAATCCATCACTATGGCAGTAATAAACCTGCCACATAAATGGTATGAAGCGATGATACTCCTGGCGTATTCCTACCAATTTGCATGTCAGATTTTTCTAAAGGATTTCATCGTATCGACTTCAACATTCTACTACAGAAATCTTACACATATGGGTATACATCCCGTTCTAAATCATTGGATTGCCAACTTGCTTATGGACAGAAGCTAGTGATGTCGCAGGCAAACCAGTTTAAGCCGATCCAGTTACATACACTGGGGTAAAACACACACTCATCACATAAACTCATATCCCCTCTTTACTGATTTTGTAGGGAACGTTCGAGATCTTATCGTGGATACCTTAGAAGAAATGTGGAAAGATGAAGTACGTAATAAACTCGCTGAAGTGTTCAAAGACAATGCAGAAGATTTTGCCAAAATACTGTTCTTCCTTGATGAGGAAGACAGAGCTTACAAAGACAGTGACAGACCTTACGCACCACAATGGAAATCTTTGAAAGCCACAGTGAAGATGGATAAAGCTTTTCGAGAGTTTGCGAAATTGCTGTCAGATAAAATAAAAATATCAGAAAAAGACGAACAGTTTCGAGAGCGTATGAAAACAGTTTTTGAACAAACGTTGTCCCATTGCGATGACACATTTTCAATTGAAAAATATCAGAAACACGATCCCAATCGAATCAATTATGATCAAAGTTCTACGTTCGCACTTAATGGTTTGGAAAGGACTTTGAGTATCATTCCTGCTGAATCGAAAATTTCTCTTATTAATAGCATTAGAGCGATCGTAATTAAATACAATATCATTCCACTAGATAATGTTGTGATTTTAGGAGATGATGCTCGTATTAATATTATGCGTTGGTGGAAAGGTGAAATATCAGGAAAGAGATGCATTAAGAATGTACTGGACAAATCGCTACCAGTATTAGCAAGCATGGCAGGAGGTACTGCTGGGGCTTATATTGGATTAGCAATAGCAGGTCCTTTAGGGGGACTGCTAGGGGGTCCTGTTGGTGCGTGGCTTTCTGGTGCTGGGATGAGGTATGTCTGTGATTGGCTGACACAAAAGTTGTTTGGTCTACCAAAGGAAGAAGCTCTGGAAAATGCTCATCGATACTTGGGTGTGGATCTGACTGCTTCAAATGCAGAAGTGAACACCGCATTCCGAAAGCTTGCTCTTAAACACCATCCGGACAGAGGAGGAAACCAAGATGACTTTTTAATCCTTCAGATAAATATGGCAGTAATCAAACAAGCTAGACCGGACTCTTAATCCATTTTTGCAAAGTTGATTTTTGTTAAATAATTTCGTGTTTTTAATTTAAATCAAGGATCACACAAGAGGTTTTTGATAATACTTTTGATAATACCTTTTGATAATACTTGATTTTTGTTGTCCATTAAATATGTACTAAGATTTTAGCAAAATTTTGTTTCTGTTATGAGTAAAGCAAAGTAATCTTAAAAAGATTTGACAATTTTATTATGCTGACATATTTACTAATGTTCGCACGTTATAAATGCAAGGGTTGATGAAGAGACTTTCATATAGCTGCTGGTTTTAATTGTAACTAATATATTGTAACAGTACGTGTGTGATTGCCTGTTGTTATTTCCTTTTAAGACAATGGCACTTCAACTCATCGTCGACCGGTTCGACAATTTTGCGGAAAAGTGAAGGTCTTAGGTTTTATTTCCTGTGTTTCATACGGCGAAGTCGAGAGTTCGCACCCTGGCCGCTATTATTCACACTTATTTACAACACACACCATCATTTAACCTTATATTATTATTACTAGAAAAACATGCATGCAGCAACCCCTCGCCTATATTTTCCAAACAATGATTTACATGAAGTACCGTATTAGAAATTGATCAATACTGAATGCAGGCTCGCGTTTACGTCGTGTTGTCGTGGCAACACGACAATCTTAAATTTTATATTTTTTTGAACAACGCGCAAAAATTCCCAAAAATGGTTGAAAGATTATTGCTTTGAACTATATAACAATGAATTTCCGAATTATGTACTGTAGGTATGTTATTTTGCATTTTGTGAGCTTTGATTTAATGCTAAATTAAAACTGAATCGCTTCGTAAAATGTTTTGAAATGTTCATTTTAATAACTAAACCGCTTTTGTAGCTGTTGTATCCTACCCATATCACGTGCACGCGCACGTGAACATTAATTAACTTGGTTTTGGACTTTAGTTGTTTGCGTACTGGCGCACGAGTTGTTGTTGTAAGTATTGGAAAAGAATACAATATATTTTGGGAGTTGTACTTTGATTTAATTAACCGTGTAGGTTAAGACATAACACTGGCGACGAAGATTACATTCTAAAGTTTAGAGATGAACGCTACCGACTAGCCAAGTCCAGCAGCAAGTCATTCACCTCCCAATGCGGAAAATTCAACACAAGTTACACAGCAAACAAGTTCCCCAAGAAGCGGTTTACCACCGTCTTCACCCTTTGATCCGATCGAAGACCCCTCTACTGTTGGGCAAAGATGGAAGAAATGGGTAAGGCGATTCGAAAATTTATTAATAAGCTTAAGAGAGGTCGAGTCAACGATGCGACGTGGACTATTGTTGACATATGTCGGCGAAGCTACAAACGACATATTTGATATTTTACCCAATACTGGAACAACATACGAAGCAGCGGTGAAATGTTTATCCGAGTATTTTTCCCCTCCCGGAAACAAAGATGTCGCTATTTTCGAATTTCGTGAGCTAGCACAAGGAAATGACGAGAATATTACCGATTATTATCGACGTTTGAAAACTAAAGCAGCCGATTGTGGATTTACTAATGAAGATTCTGAAATAAAAACGCAAATAATTCATCGAACACGAGATGCACGGCAACGAAAAAAAGCCCTTCGTGAAGAAATGGATTTGAAAGCCCTTTTAAAGGACATTGGCAACCAAAATTTTTATTGCTTCATCTGAAAGAGCATGAAAAAATAAGCCGATTGGCCGTTTAACGCTCTATTCTATCTCATCTAGTTCAGAAGTTATACGCAAAAATGTGCAAAATATAAATTGCTGATTCAGCACAACGTGTGACGTCATTAGTTGGGTAAGTATGTTTATTGAATTGTAAACGAAAGCATAGCTAAGTTATTATTGGCTCAAATCAAATGAAATTTTGCATACAGATAGTACATGATGAGATACATGGGAAAGTACTTCTAATTTTGTTGTCAAGGCAACACAGTCGTTCCCAGACCCCTTACACTGATTTTGAATAACTAGTTGCATTTATCTATGTGTATATCATTTTCGAATTATTATCATGCAAGTAAACTTTTGGCATGCATAGGTATGGTACACATACTTCTGATATTATTTTAACCTGATCAATACCATGAATAAAACTGTTTTATTAAATTGGCTCAAGAGGCCTGGGAATGACATTGTTACCTTGGCAACAAACTTAGAAGCGTTTTTCAATGCATCTCATCATGTACAATCAGTATGCAAGATTTCATTTCATTTGGGCCAATAATAACTGAGCTATACTTCAGTTTACTATTCAATAAACATACTTACCCAACTAATGACGTCACACGTTGTGCTGAATCAGCAATTTATATTTTGCACATTTTTGCGTATAACTTCGGAACTAGATGAGATAGAGTAGAGCATTAAACGGCCAACCGGATTATTTTTTCATGCTCTTTCAGATGAAGCAATAAAAATTTTGGTTGCCAATGTCCTTTAAGTTCGGACAATCATTAGAAATCACCGACAAGCAAGTAAAGCGACTGGAAAACAGAACGAACAGTGTAAATTCAATGAAAAACAACAAACAACACGTGCAATATCCAAATAAATATGGGAAAAATCGCCGGGGACGTTTCTCGCAGGACACATTGTGAGGGTGCATTGTGAGGGTGCATTGTGAGGGTGCATTTCCTCATAAAAATGGAGTGCAATCCTGCCCAGCCCATGGAAAAGAATGCCACAACTGTGGAAAAACTGGCCATTTTGCCAAATTTTGTAGGTCAGCAAAGAAATCAGTCAAAAATATCAGAAAGGTCGAACAGCCTAAGAATACATATTTGCAAGATTCTAATGATGATATTTGTTTCACGCTTTCATCTACCTCAACTGAATCCGAAACCCAAATTTTAATTCGTGATACCAATGTAAAGGTTTTGGTTGACTCTGGTGCCTCCGTTAACATTGTTCACCATAACATTTTCAATCAAATTTAGAAAAACAACTCCAGCATTCATTTAGTCCCAACAAAGGCAAAGATACGTGCTTATGGTTCTGAGGACCCGATAGAGCTTGCCAGTCAATTCAAAACCACCATTCAGTCTTCCACTGGACAGCACACTGGTGCAACATTTTATGTAACAACCGGACAGTACAAGTGTATTCTGGGATATCAGTCATCGACCGAATTAGGGTTAATAACATTAAATGTTAACTCATTAACACAACATGGGAACCCAACTGTAGAAAAAATCCTTTATCAACACCATAACCTATTCCAAGGAACTGGCAACCTGAAACGGGTAGAGGTGACGCTTCAAATCGACAAATCCATCACCTCAGTGGCCCAGCCCCCACGGCGTATCCCACACCACCTTAAGAAAAAGGTGAACGACAAACTACAAGAAATGCGCGAAAGCGGTATTATCGAAAGAGCTGATGGCGCAACTCCATGGCTTTCTCCACTAATTGCCATCCCGAAGAAAACCGGTGATGTCCGACTCGTCCTTGACATGCGTGTGCCCAACACCACCCTTGCAAGATCTTCGTCGAGTCCAAATACCCACTGTGGATAAAATCTTACGTCAGATGGAAGGTGCCAAATTCTTTACCGAAGTAGACCTATCTCAAGGTTATCTCCAACTTACCCTTTCCGAAGAATCACGGTACATTACTGCCTTTTCCACACCTGATGATGGTCCCCACCGATTCACCCGCTTGATTATAGGTGCATCACCTTCCGGAGAGTATTTTCACGAAATCATTTGTAATCTCATTAAGGACATCCCCAGGTGTGCCAACATTTCCGACAACATCTGGTTGTGGTCGAACGACAAGCAGTCCCACTATGCGCAGTTAGAGCCGTTACTGACGAAGCTTGAAAGTAGTGGTTTGACCTTCAAATACCCAAAGTGTTCATTCATGGTACCCGAAGTAAACGTCTTTGGACACATCATCTCAGGAAATGGAATTCGACCCGATGACGCAAAGATTAAAGCGGTCAGCCAAGCCCCACCTCCCAAGTCTTGTTCCAAAGTTAGATCATTTCTTGATCTCACCAACTACTGCTCAAGGTATATACCTAACTATAGTAGCATAACCTACCCTCTTCAACAACTGACCAAAGCCCATGCACAGTTCATATGGACTAAAACGCAAGAGCAAGCATTCCAAGCCCTTAAGCGAGCACTAACAAGTGCACCAGTCCTAGCCCACTATAGTCTCGAGGCGAAGACAAGAGTCGTTGTCGTTGCATCACCTTGGGCTCTAGGAGCCGAACTCCTACAAGAGCAGCATGACGGATCATTCCGGCCTATTGCATTTGGTAGTAGATCTCTACCTGAAACCATGGATAATAAAATAAATGGATATGAAACTTCGTGACGTCATTGGCCGCAACCTTGTTGAAAAACGTGACGTCACACTTGTAAACAGCAAAAATAAAATATATTTTTATATGCAAGTTTGCAAAGATGGAAATAAATGATGATTTTGAGCGGTGGGATGATAGTGAAGTAATAGATATTGATGAGATTGAAAGTACATTATGTAGTGCAAAGCTGGAGAATGGAGATCAAGAGAATGATAGTCTAGAACACAGTGAAAATGCAGACAGTGACTCCGATGGCAACAATGATGCTAAACAACAACACATACTTCGATGTAAAAAATGCAAAAAGACTTACCGATCAAGGAGCTGGTTAATTAAGCATCAAGCTTCTTGTGACGGCAAACGGAGAACGAAAGCACTAAGTTTAAATTTGTCA